TCTCAAGGCTTGATGACTGATCAAAGAACTATAGGGCCTGGAAATCAACCTTCAAAGCTGCTATTGTTGACTTCAACCTCACTGCCAAGGAAGAACTTGATTTGCTTGTAAAGTGGCTGGGGCCAGAATCTGCAGATCATGTTAAAAGACTGAGAGCAGTATATGTTGACTACGCAGATGCAGTACTTGCTGCTGCATGGGCAAGATTTGAGCAAACCTATGGTATCTCTGAAGCTGTAGAAAGCACTCTATTACTACAAAACTTTCCAAAAATAGGTAACAAAGATCATTGCAAGCTTCAAGAACTAAGCAACCTCCTCATGGAGCTAGAGTTGGCAAAAACAGACCCTTGTCTACCTGGGCTAAGATAACTGGACATCGCTCATGGTGTGAATCAAGTGGTGTTTAAACTGCCAAACAACCTGCAAGGGAAATGGGCACAACAGGGCTCAAAATATAAAAGAGACTATGACGTATCTTTTGTTCCATTCTCATATTTTTGCAGGTTGCAGCTTCAGTGAATCTAGCCTGCCTGCTTCATCATCATTAAGGGATGATAACAAGGCAGCTAAACATAGAGACTTAAATAGAGCAGTGTCTGCTAAAAACACAGACCCCTCAACTCCCATATCCTCTCCTGCTTACCAGAGTAATTCGGGTGATAGAGGTAAAGATCCTAATCGTCAGTGCCCTATTCACAAAAAACCTCACCGTCTTAAGAAAAGTTTTGGGTTAAGGGCAAAAACTGTACAAGAATGCAGGGAGATTCTCTAGAAACTTGGTATATGCTTTAGGTGCTGTGCTTCCTATGACCAATTTGCTAAAAGTTGTCATTAAGTGCACAGTACTGACCAAACACTTTACAGCTATTCATCCTGCTCCAATTCCAGACAATCCACAGCAGCTACCTACATCACGCCCTGCTTCAAATCATGACAGGAAGCAACAAAGCCATTCTCCAGCCACAACAAATGTTTTTATTCTAAATGTACTGAAGTCTGTGGAGAAGGATTAAGCCAAAAATGCTGTGCCAAGGTATGTCTAGTCAAAATACAGTATATCCAAAGGATCAAAGTTACCAGGATGTATGCCATAATAGTTGAGCAGAGAAACAGATCCCTGGTTAAACCTACATTTTTTTCAAATCTTTGGCATAAAGGGACATGCAATACCATAAGCGCTCAATACCTGTTTTGGTCGTTTAGAAACCTCTGACAGAAGAACCGATGGGTTCATGGTTTCCCATATTAAGGTAAAGAAGGGAATACCCTTGCTAACATTAGTTTAAGGCAATCAAATACTAGACAACAGGAATGATATCCCTACTACAGAAGCTAAGTATCACCATCCCCACTTAAGGCACCTGGTTACTGAGATTTCTCCAATGGACATAGATGCTGAAATCTTGCTGGGAAGCGCATTCTCAGAGTATATAAAGTACGACAGCAGTGCAGTGGATCTGATGACGCCCCATATACACAAAGACTTGATCAAGGCTGGATTAAAGTGGTCGATGTTTGCTTGCATAGAATGCACACACCATCTGAGATCAACTCGTTCAAATCTCATGTGTTAAGAAATGGGCATGTATCTCACTTCAGACAATGCCCTCATCATTATGTAGTAAAGGAGAAGCCTCTTGACATCATCCAGGTATCTGACATTACTCCCATACCTTGTGATGACAACTTAAGTAGCATAGTGTTTTGTACTACATGTGATGTTAACAGAACAGCCTGGTCAGTTGAAGATAGAGAGTTCATCACAATAATGGATTCTTCAAAGATTAAGCAAACAGCTGGGTTGCACCGTTACGTTTTTGTGCTACAAGAGTCAGACTTCCAAACAATCGTGATCAAGTTTTATCCAGATTCAGCTCACTTCAGTGAACACTAAAGAACAGGCCTGAAATGAAGGACCATTAAATTGCCTTTATGAGTAGGATATTTGACAATGATCAGTTCCACCTCTTCAGAACATAATGAGTGCTGGTATCTGCTTTCTTCGAAGTGTATCATCCACGTAAACCAAAACAGATTAGGGTAGTGTTTGACTCCAGTGGCACGCATCAAGGCGTATCCCTAAATGATGTTGTTCTCACTGGTCCTAACTTAACTAACAACCTTGTAGAAGTACTTATGAGGTTTAGAAGAGAGCCAGTTGCCATAACTGCTGACATTGAACACATATTACATTTCTTTATAGTAAGAGAAGGCCATAGGGACTTCCTAAGGTTTCTGTGGCACCTTGACAACTACATAAACAATGAAGTGATTGAATACAGCATGAAAGTACATGTCTTCGGAAACAGTCCCTCGCCTGTTATTGCAACATATGGTCTACAAAGGACTGCTCTTGATGGTGAAAAGGCGTATGGTGCAGCTGCTCGACACTTCGTTTAAAGAGACGTCTACGTGGACGACGGACTCAAATCCTTACCCACAGATGAAAAAGCCATAGACCTGCTCCAAGGACTCAAGGTATACTTTCTGAGGCCAACCTCACACTCCATAATATTGTCTCAAACAGTGCTGCTGTGATGAAAGCTTTTCAGCCTAACAATCATGGCACAGGATTTAAATCTGTGAATGGACATGCCTCCTGTTTAGAGAAGCCTAGGCTTATTGTAAAACTTAATAAAAGACACCTTTGGCTTACAAGTCAGAGCTGCAGACAAGCCATTTACTAAACATGGTGTTCTGTCAGTGGTGAACAGTCTATATGATTCACTGGGGTTTCTGGCTCCCATCACCATACAAGGTAAAGCCTTATTAAGTCAGCTATCAGAAGCTAATAAAGATTGGGATGCTCCACTACCAACAGACAAACATTCAGAATGAGAGTCCTGGAAACAATCTCTATGTGCCTTAGATGGAATTGACATACCATGCTGCTACACTTCAGCTTCCCTTGCTGCAAGTTGGAGAAAAGAGATTTATATCCTTTCAGATACATCCATGACGCCATAACAGCTGTTGCCTACCTCAAGGTGAGAGACTCTCTCAAACCCATGTAGGGTTTCTGTCTGGCAAGGCTAAGCTAGCACCTAAGCCTGAGCACACAATTCCCCAGGCTTGAACTTTGTGGGACTGTGCTATCCATAGAAATTGCAGATTTGTACTGCGTGAGCTAAACATTCAGAAAGATGACATCAAAATTCTACACAGATAGCAAAGTTGTTTTGGGCTACATATATAAATCAAATAAAATGCTTCTATGTCTGTATCAGCAACCAAGAAAGAATCAGAACAATGGCATCATGTTCCATTAGCGTTTAAGCCTAGGTTAATGCCACCAGGCCAGTGCCTGCCATAATCAATTCAAGACCACTTGTTCTAGTGTCTACAGACACCCCAACCATCCTCGTTCCAGCTACTCTTCTCACCCAGAAGCTTGGGCCTGTTCCTGTTCCACCTGGAGACAGGGAATCTATACAATGATCAATGGAGTACAACACCTCGCCAACTGCTTCCAGAATCATTGGAAGATGGAGTATGTTTCTCTTCTGCAAGGATGCAGAAAATGACAACGTCTGAACCCTAATCTCCAAGTTGGAGACCTTGCTCTGCTCAAAGACCAGCAAGCTGAAATAACTAATTGTAAAGACCATCTCTAGTGAGGTACATAAGGTAGAGGTGAAAGTTGCCACACAAGGTATGTAAAGACTTTGTTTGGACCCATCACAGAACTTGTTTTGCTCTTGATCTTTGGAGACTGAACTTGCTTACCTGGGTTTGTTGGATCCTGTTTCTGACCTTAAGAGGAATGTGCCTTGAACTTTAATTAGCAGTACTTGAGGCCTTATTAAAACTTAATAAAAGACACCTTTGGCTTACAAGTCAGAGCTGCAGACAAGCCATTTACTAAACATGGTGTTCTGTCAGTGGTGAACAGTCTATATGATTCACTGGGGTTTCTGGCTCCCATCACCATACAAGGTAAAGCCTTATTAAGTCAGCTATCAGAAGCTAATAAAGATTGGGATGCTCCACTACCAACAGACAAACATTCAGAATGAGAGTCCTGGAAACAATCTCTATGTGCCTTAGATGGAATTGACATACCATGCTGCTACACTTCAGCTTCCCTTGCTGCAAGTTGGAGAAAAGAGATTTATATCCTTTCAGATACATCCATTGAGGCCATAACAGCTGTTGCCTACCTCAAGGTGAGAGACTCTCTCAAAACCCATGTAGGGTTTCTGTCTGGCAAGGCTAAGCTAGCACCTAAGCCTGAGCACACAATTCCCAGGCTTGAACTTTGTGGGACTGTGCTATCCATAGAAATTGCAGATTTGTACTGCGTGAGCTAAACATTCAGAAAAATGACATCAAAATTCTACACAGATAGCAAAGTTGTTTTGGGCTACATATATAAATCAAATAAAATGCTTCTATGTCTGTATCAGCAACCAAGAAAGAATCAGAACAATGGCATCATGTTCCATTAGCGTTTAAGCCTAGGTTAATGCCACCAGGCCAGTGCCTGCCATAATCAATTCAAGACCACTTGTTCTAGTGTCTACAGACACCCCAACCATCCTCATTCCAGCTACTCTTCTCACCCAGAAGCTTGGGCCTGTTCCTGTTCCACCTGGAGACAGGGAATCTATACAATGATCAATGGAGTACAACACCTCGCCAACTGCTTCCAGAATCATTGGAAGATGGAGTATGTTTCTCTTCTGCAAGGATGCAGAAAATGACAACGTCTGAACCCTAATCTCCAAGTTGGAGACCTTGCTCTGCTCAAAGACCAGCAAGCTGAAATAACTAATTGTAAAGACCATCTCTAGTGAGGTACATAAGGTAGAGGTGAAAGTTGCCACACAAGGTATGTAAAGACTTTGTTTGGACCCATCACAGAACTTGTTTTGCTCTTGATCTTTGGAGACTGAACTTGCTTACCTGGGTTTGTTGGATCCTGTTTCTGACCTTAAGAGGAATGTGCCTTGAACTTTAATTAGCAGTACTTGATGCCTTATTGCAGTTATTTTTGTTGCATATACACTATATTGCCAAAACTATAGGGGAACCCCTCCACATCATTGGATTCAGGTGTTCCAATCACCTCTATGGCCACAGGTGTATAAAATCAAGCACCTAGGCATTCAGACTGCTTCTACAAACATTTGTGAAAGAATGGGTCACTCTCAGGAGCTCAGTGAATTCAAACATGGTACCGTGATAGGGTGCCACCTGTGCAATAAGTCAATCCGTGAAATTTCATTGATACTAAATATTCCACTGTAAACTGTTAGAGGTATTATAACAAAGTGGAAGCACCTGGGAGCAACAGCAAGTCAGCCACGAAGTGGCAGAGCAGGATCAGCGCATGCTGAAGCACACAGTGCGTAGAAGTCGGCAACTGTCTGCAGAGTCAATAGCTAAAGACCTCCAAACTTCATGTAGCATTCAGATTAACACAAAAAAACAGTGTGTAGAGAGTTTTTAATGGAATGGGTTTCCATGACTGATCAGCTGCATCCAAGCCTTACATCACCAAGTGCAATGCAAAGCATCGGATGCAGTGGTGTAAAGTACGCCTCCACTGGACTTAAGTGCCGTGGAGACGTGTTCTCTGGAGTGACGAATCACGCTTCTCTATCTGGCAATCCAATGGATGTGTCTGGGTTTGGCAGTTGCCAGGAGATCGGTACTTGCCTGACTGCATTGTGCCAAGTGTAAAGTTTGATGGAGGGGGGATTATGGCGTGGGGTTGTTTTTCAGGGGTTGGGCTTGGCCCCTTAGTTCCAGTGGAGGGAACTCCTTAAGGCGTCATCATTCCAAGCCATTTTGGACAATTTCACCAGTGCACAAAGCAAGGTCTATAAAGACACGAATGGACGAGTTTGGAGTGGAGGAACCTGACTGGCCTGCACAGAGTCCTGACCTCAACCCAATAGAATGCCTTCGGGATGAATTAGAGTGATGACTGCGAGCCAGGCCTTCTCGTTCGACATCAGGCCCTGACCTCTGGAAGAATAGTCAAATATTCCCATAAACACACTCCTAAACCTTGTGGACGGCCTTCCCAGGAAAGTTGAAGCTGTTATAGCTGCAAAGGGTGGGCCAACCCAATATTGAACCATGCTCAAATCCGAGAACACATTACCATGTTTTAACCTGCAAAAACCATATTTTCAATCATCTTCCATATCTGTTGTCTGCTGTAACTGCTGCATACAATAAAGATTTTGTGGAAGAGAAAACGGGTGTTTGGTTAGTTCAGCTATCTGATAAAGACTGTCTGCAGTGATTGTTTCCGCTTATACAAGCCAGGCATAGAGGTCTCAGCAATAAGTCACTAATACAACAGTTGGAGTCAGAATAAGGGTGTTCATGGCTATTATTGTTATCATGAATGCTTGAGACATTTTTAATCCTATATCAGTACAACTATGTGTTTAACCACTAGCCTACAGGGCACTTTTACCCCCTTCCTCCCCAGGCCAATTTTCAGCTTTCAGCACTGACACATTTTGAATGACAATTGCGCGGTCATGCAACACTGTACCCATATGACATTTTTATTATTTTTTTGAGACAGAGCTTTCTTTTGGTGGTATTTAATCTCCTCTTGGTTTTTTAGTTTTTAGTAAACAAACCAAAAACAACTGAAAATTTTGAAAAAAAAAAAAGTTTTTTCTTAGTTTCTGTTTTAAAATTTTGTAAATAAGTGATTTTTCGCCTTCACTGATGTGCGCTAATAAGGCTGCAGTGATGGGCACTGATAGGCGGCACTGATGGGCACTCATGAGGAGGCACTGGTAGGTGACACTGATGGGCATTGACAGACATCACTGATGGGCACTGAAAGGCAGCACTCATATATGGCACTGATAGGCGACACTGATAGGTGGCACTGATAGGCAGCACTGACTGGCACTGTTAGGTGACACTAAAAGGCAGCTCAGATGGGCACTGATATGTGGCATTGATGTGCACTGGTAGGCACTGATGGACACTGGCAGGTGGCACAGAGGAGTACTGACAGCTGGCATTGATGGACACTGACAGGTGGCACTGCTGGGGCTACACTGATCATCAGGGCACACTGATCATCAGTGCCCTGATGATCATTGTACATGTGCCCTCTGAGAAATGCCAACCGGCTCTCCTCCTGAGCTGTCAGCGTGACAGCTCGAGTGGAGAGAAATGCTGATAACCGGCATTTCCCTATTTACATGTGATCAGCTGTGATTGGACACAGCTGATCACATGACCGAGCCGACATCTTCAGCTCTTTCCGTTGATCTGTGATCCGCTGTGTCCGAGGGACACAGCGCACCACTGATCGACGCGCTGCGCGGTTAGAGTGGGGGGACATCATATGACGTACTCCCAGAACGAGAGAACCGCCTTGCGCCCGTCATTGCCTTATATGGTGGGCGGGAGGCGGTTAAAGTGTTGAGTGCCTAAAAGTCCATGTGTGGGTTTCTATCCAGTTTTTGGTGTTTTCTTTACATTATAATCATGTGATTGCTATGATTCAATAGACACACACAGTGTAGCTTGACTCCACTCCTTCCTCATAGGATTTGATTGACAGTAATAGGATCCAATGGCTCCTGCTGATGCCTTTTTATCCTGTGAATGCAGGGAGAAAGGAGAGAGCCACTACAGACTGGCACAGCCCTGGATCATGTTCGGACTCAGGTAAGTATTTTGGAGGAGGTGGCAATACAAATGATGGGATTTTTTTTAACCTTAATGCAGGGAATGCATTAGGGTAAAAAACGTCTAGCCTTTACATCCACTTTAACTGTTTCACCCCCGGCCAATGTAGATACACGGCCAGGTGGTTGCACTGTTCTGTGCTCTGGGAAGACATATGGGTACACCTTCCTATTCATACTCCTGGGGTGTGCAGCAGTGCAATCTGTGACAGCTGTGTCCGGTGAATGCTGCCGATCTCAGTGCTTGGTACCGGGCTGCTGTGATTGACCCAGATACCATATGATTGCTGTGACCAATCACAGGGATCATAATAAAAAGCACTGCGTACTATTGTGATCACTGTGATAGGTGCAGGGCTAGTCACAGCAGCACTGTACCCTGTACCATGTGATAGATGTAGTCAATCACAATAGTAAACAACGAGTCATGAATGAAAGCCATTCATGACAGTTAAAACTATTGCTGTTGCAGTAAACATCACAGTACAAGCAGTCATAGTGCACTATACTGCTGTACTACTCTGGTGACATTATGTAAAACAGAATAAAAATTGCAAAAACATAAATAAAAATTTAAAAAATTATATATATTTTTTTACTTACTGTCACCAATCAGTGTCCCTAATCACTGCCACCCACTCAGTGTGTCCCTAATCATCACCGCCCCAGTTGCAGTGTCCTTGATCCCTGCCATACCAGTCATATTTTCCCTAATTACCGCTAAACCAGCTACAGTGTCTCTGCTCACCTCCAGACCAGCCCCTGATCACCGCCACAGCAGTCACAGTGTACCTGATCACCACCACAGCTGTCATTGTGTCACCATAAGGACTTCTTCACATGTGCAATGCTCTCTGAAGAGCCATCCATATTCAGATCTCTCTTCACAGAGCATTTTACAGGCAGTGAGGAGGCACTGTATTGCCAACACCTGCTTTAACCTCTTGGATCTCGCTCAAACAACCCCATTCACTTCCTTGGGTCATGATCAGGAAGCATACAGGGGGGGGCTTCCGGTCACAGCTGGGAAGCACAGCATCGCAGCCATAGCAGGAGTACAGCCTCTAAGGATGAGGCTGAGTCATCGAAACGCGTTAGCCAGTTGGAAGTCCAGGGTTCCATTTTGTGGACTTGGATGCAGTGTGGATTGGACACCGCTGTTTAGTGTGATGTACCTTTGTCTTATATGTCCATTGTGAGTATGATACTTACTTTTTATCCTTTTAATAAATATTTTTTTACGATAATGCGCTAGGCCGGTGCTCCCTCTTTTTGTTTTCTTTGTATCCAATGACTTTGGACTACCCCAGTCTGTTGAGGGCAGCAAGCAGTGCATATTCCAGGACATCTGAATTGTTACCTTAGCCTCTGCTGAGTCCATCCCCAGCGTAGGAGTACAGAGTTTCTGTGTTTGCGGTGTACAGCCACTGCCTCTGCAGCAAAAGGGTGTGACAGCTGAGGGGTGGTAAAGCCACAGCTCAACCTCAAGTGCAGCCAGTACAGTTCTCTAATCATCACCATACCAGCCACAGTGTCGCTAGACCAGTGTAGCAAGAATCAGTGTTCCTGATTTTCCTGTTTTTTGACCATGTTTCTGCCTATTGCTGGCTCTAGCCAATATGATATGGGGGTACAGTAAAAAATGTCAGGGGGCCGAGGATTTGAGATCAGCAGGGCAGTGTACAAAAACAGGAATCAATAGCGGAGTGTACTGGGGGTCAACAGGTCAGAGGATAGAGGTTAGCAGAGGGTAGGAATCAGCAGTTTCTAGGGCAGTGTACCGATTGACTTCTGTACAACCAGCCTGTAGGAAAATTTCCACACGATCAGCACCCCCAGTTATAGCAGGCAGCACTCCGTGCTAAGTGATAAGTCTCTCCGCTGTCAGAACACAATATCTCAGCTGGAGTGATTTCCGCATCCACGCTGAATGTGTAGATGTGGGAATCTAGGTTTTTTTTTTTTTTGTTCAACCCCGCTGTTGGAAAAAAAAAAAAAATGACTAATGTATAGACTGCCTTACTGAGCCTACCATAAGGAAGAATTTCATTAAAACCAGCAACTGTTGAGGGGGGGTGAGACAATGAACACCTTGGTCAGGTCTATTTACTGTATATCAATGCATAATGTACAGAGTACAGAGCTTAGGTGTAAGTAATAAACAAAACAACATATGGAATGTAACAGGATAACTGCCATGTTCACATCAGTGTCCCCAGAGTGCCACCACCTTACATCAGAGTCTGGCAGGATGTCCCCTTACATCAGAGTCTAGCAGATTGCCCCCTTACATCAGTCTGGCAGAGTGTCCCCTTACATTAGAGTCCCCTTCTTACATCAGAGTCTGGCAGAGTGTCCCCTTACATCAGAATCTGCAGAGTGGCCCTTACATCAGATTCTGGCAGAGTCCCCTTCTTACATCAGAGTTTGGCAGAGTGACCCCTTTAAACACACTTAACCAGTATGGGGGGCAGCTGGCAGGAAAAGGCTTACAAAAAAATGCCCTTGTTGTCGGCTCTGAACTGTGCATGCACAGTTCCAAAGCGAGCCAATCAATGAACTGCTGAACTTGTGGGGTGTGTGAATATAAGGCATGCCTAAAAAGTGCCATGATGTCACTACACAGGTGCACACCCAGTTCTCTAATTGGCTGGCTGCGGTACTTGTGCTTGTGCTTACAGTGAAGCACCAACACACCACCCCCTAGTAAAACACACACAGCACACAGTTAACCCTTTGATCGCCCCTCATGTTAAACCCTTCCTGCCCAGTGCCATTAGTACAGTGTCAGTGCTTTTTTTTTTTAGCACTGAATACTGTATTGGTGTCACTGGGGATGTCAGTGACACCAAGTCAGTTCCCCCCCCAGTGTCAGAATGTCCGCCGCAGTCCCACTACAAGTCGCTGGTTGCCGCTATTACTAGTAGAAAAAAAAATTCCAGTATATATACCGCCATTTGTAAATGCTATAACTTTCACTTAACCACTTCCATACCGGGCACGTTTACCCCTTTCCTGCCCAGGCCATTTTTCACGTTTCAGCGCTCTCACCTTTGAATGACAATTGCGCGATCATACAACACTGTACCCAACTAAAATTTTATCATTTTCTTCACACAACTAGAGCTTTCTTTTGATGGTATTTAATTACCGCTGGGGTTTTTATTTTTTGCTAATTTAACAAAAAAAGTCCAAAAATTTTGAAAAAAAAAACCCACATTTTTCTTTGTTTCTGTTATAAAAGTTTGCAAATAATTGTTCTTCATAAATTTAGGCCAAGATGTATTCTGCTACATGTCTTTGGTGAAAATAACCCATATTAGGATGTATTATTTAGTTTGTAGGAAAGTTATAGAGTTCACAAACTATGGGATATATCTGAATATTGATCAATCCTGAAGTACTGACGGCCAATCTAATTTCTTGAGGTCCAAGAATGTCAGAACAGTACAGATATCCCCCAAATTACCCCTTTTTGCAAAGTAGACAGTCTGACGTATTTCATAAGAGGCATGGCAAGTTTTTTGAAGTTGTAATTTTTTTGTCATAATTTTTCGGAAAATTAAAAAATGAAAAAAATTATTTTCACTATTGTTTTTACATACTGTCACCAGTGCAGTACAGCGTCATCATATAACTGGCATGGCGGTGATCAGGGACACTGACTGGTGACAGTACGAAAAAAAAAAAATTATACTTTTTTTTATTAGTTTTAATTTTTTATTACATTTTTTCTTTTTTTTTAAAGATTTTTTTTTCATATTTCACTATGACCAAAGTAGTACAATGTTACCATAGTACCATAATAACATTGTACTACTTTGGGGAAGTAATCCGTTTTTTTTACATAGGTACACGGCCGGTGACAGATCGCGGGTGGCCGCACTGCACATGACTTAAAGGACGCCATATGGCGTCCACTCGGAGGGACGAGCTGCTCGCCCGGCCATCTTTGTGCTATTGGCCGGGTGGGAACTGGTTAAACCAATTAATTTACACGTATTGGGATTTTTTTTTTTTTTTAGTAAAGACATGTAGCAGAATACATTTTGGTCTATATTTATTTGATTTTTTTATTTTTTTTTACTGGACATGTTTAATAGCAAAAAAGTCAAAAATATAGTTTTTCTCAATTGTCAGCCTTTTTTTTATTGTGCAAAAAATAAAAATGCACAGACGATCAAATATCATCAAAAGAAAGCTCTATTCGTGGGGAAAAAAGGACGTAAATTTAATTTGGGTGCAGTGTTGCATGATCACATGAATAGTAGTAAACAAGATGTCACTTCCTGACATCATTGCTAGCTAATTGTGAAATCTGTGAATGATCAAAGAGATCACATGGTACAAGGCTATTCACAAAAGCCTTGTACCATGTGACAAGTTGTGACCAATCACAGCTCACACAGTATTTCTCAATGGCTGCAAGAATGCAGCCAGAGAGAAGGAGAAATGATTACTTTTACAGCCTTTATGGATGTAAAAGCAATCAGTGTAAAAAAAAAAAAATAAATCTTCATCACCCCCACAAGTAGTACTGCTAGGGTGACAGTATGTTAAAAAAAAACATAAATAATAAAAAATGTGAAAAAACTTTTTGAAAAATTATTATTTTTGGTTATAAACTAATTTGGGTTATTTT